ACATAACAAATTTTTTTTCTCTGCCCCGCACCACATACTTGACTGAATTAATGCATCTGGATCCGTTTTTATGTCACATCAAATTCAACTCAGAATGATGTTATTGTTCTAGTGGGCAAAAAACAGCCATGGGCATATATTTTCATGTGGAAATTTTCACATCAAATAAAATGTTATTCCATTATAGTCACGACAAATATTAGTTACATCTATATAATAAATTCGATATATATACAAGCTTTAAAAATCGTTCCGTCTTGTTTGGAATTTGAATAGAAATATTAGATATGGATATGATATGCGGTGCAAAAGTGTGGCATCAATATAGTTTAAATCCCTTTTGTGAAATTTGAATTAAATTCTTTTAAATGCGATTTAAATTAATGCACAACAGCAAACCATGGAAGCGAAAGGTTTTAATGTCAACTTTACTCAAAAATATATATATGCTTTGATGTTCTGAAAAAGGTATATCTCTCATTCGCTCGTCGTATCATTTGTGTGTGTGTGTATACGCTCGCTCAAGTGGTATAAGTATGCAAATGCAATTCAAAAACGCTTAATTATGATTGTGTTCTGTTTTCTTTTTCCTTGGTTGATTTTTCGATGCCAAAGAGAGCAAGCCACACTGAGTTTTTCGAACCCTCCGACGATGAATTGATATTTCTATTTATATTGCATTTTAATTTTAAATAAACGAAAAATGTCATGGAAATCACAGACTGCCCTCATTCAATATGAGATGAGCAAAAATGAAAAAAAGAAACTGGAAAATTCGATATATATTTTCGCCATCGTTCGATTTCTGTAATAACCAAGAGCCCACAATACAAACATCATGCTATATGGTACACGTGAAGTGTAGTAAAATTACATAAACATCATGCTGTGCCTTAGAGCAAATTTTTGAAGCGTTGAATGAACCTTTGATAGAAAGTAAAAATAAAGGTAGAACATATCGAATTGTCTATTATCATGCAATGTGTATTGGGGTGGGTACGCTTGAATTTCTCGAACTGAGCAATACGATCGCAATAAGCCAAACAATTGGAATTATATATTCGTCAGGGTGCAAAATTTTCGAAGCAAATATAATTGGTAACGAGATAGAAAACAGATACTATCATAAAATGAGAGACTCTTCGCTAAATTGCTTTCCTACGTTTATTTCCAGTTTCATTTCTCAATTTCGATACAATGGATCACACACGAGGCTCGTTGGAATGGTATTACACGGTGAAAGAAAGATATGGTGCATCACTTAGTGTCACACCGTTTTGAATTTATGAATATTGACATGTGCCCAATTTTAGTATAAAATTTAAAATTCACATCCAATTCCGAATCACCTAGGGAGATCGGTATAATCTGCAAGCCATATCACACAATTTGATCCTAATCTAATGCAAATCCTAAGCGTGTACCCTGTATACAAAATAGGCCCAGACAAAATGACATATCGATGCGAGATATTGCCAACCAGCCACATTGCTGCCAATAACATCGCGCATTCAGTGTCTATACATAAAATACACATTATATCATTTTATCATTTATAAATAAATAATAAAATTTATATAAGTTGATGCACGCAGATTGTGTAACATGTTTATTTCATATTTCTCTTTCGATTCATTGTCGTACTGCTGATGTACGACATTCACACACACACTCTCTCTCTCCCATTTCCACTCATTCGCGTCGACCACCCTTATTTCGCACGTTTGTGTATTCTTGGTCGCACACCAAAAGACGGCAAAGGTACTAAACACGACACATAGAAAATACATTTACATTCGAGACATTCGCTCCCTAAGCACACGATTTTTTTTTTCTTCTTCTTCGGTTGTATGTTAAAATATATTGAATGCAAACACAGTTCATACATATGTGTTGTCACTTTTTTTCTTGATGCCTGCTTTTTACCGTCTCTGCGTTTCTTATTGGAACATTTGCCAAAAAAAAAATTTTTTTTTTCATTTGATGGAAATTTGAAAATATTGTGAATGGAATTTTTCGGAATTGAACAATTCACGCGATTTAGTAGCTGTTGTCGGCCGGTGAGTTAAAGGGATTGATTGTTGGTGTATTATTTATTTTTCATCATTCAGCATGTGGTAACACAATAGCATATCTTTACAACTTTTCTCACACCGTTAAATTGAATGATGGGCAAAAACATACACATCATTTATCTACACATTTATAATTCGAGTCGCGTTTGGCTCCCCAATCCATTAACTATTTTAATCATAAACACGGGGTGTGTTATTTATATAGCATAAACCCGTCGAGCAACAACCACGATGCAGCAAAAAAAAAAATAGCGTAATGTGAACGCACTTTTCGTGTAACAACACGCGTGCTAAGTAAACACAACGAAAAACCAACAGCCATACCGTATGATGAAAACATTTTTTGTGCGAGCGTCGGACGCATCGAAGTATGATTCAAGTGAAAGACAGAGAAAGGAAGCACTTTTTCATTCAGTAAAAATACAATGAAGGAAGTGGTGAAAGATGTGCACAGTTCAAAACAGCAGGATGTACTGGAAAGAAAGTTTTCTGATTTTTCTTTTTTCCCTCGTTTAATAATAATTGCATTAGATACCAGTTAGATTGCTATTATTTTTTTCCTGTTGATTTTTTTGTTTCGTCACAAATAAACAACTTTCAAAGAGAAAGTAATAATATACTTCTGTTTGGTTGCCATAATACTTTTATTGTATCTTTATTTTGTGGTTATGATTTATTTTTCATTTCGCCAATTCATTTCGGTATTGTTTGTCGTTTGACAATTTGATTTGTGTTTCAGTAAGATTCAAAAGTCATTTTGATTTGTGTTCGCTTCAAACAAAAACAATTTTTTTTCTCTCTCGATTTTTGGAAATGAAATAAATTTTACTTATTTTTATGTTAAATACATTTTCATAATGGTTGGGTATGCATCAGGGGTGTATCGCCACTACTACTGATTTTATTCAAAGTTCGACATAACAAAACATTGCATATTACCTTTAAGTACAGTGATTGCGTGACTTATATCCATATTTTATTCGAGGGCACCCCCGAATAAGAAAAAAATACAAACACACACACACAGCAAAATAGAACAAAGTAGTGTGTTCCTTGTTTAAGATTGTCAATAGTAGAATATGGAAAAAATGTGTCCAAAATACATTTGACAATTACGTAGTCGTTAATGTCGTGAAAAAAGAAATAGTTTTTTCGGTGCTATATATACACAATACAGGCCAAGTGCCACTCACGGAACACAATAGTCAAATGGTTGGCACATCTAACACACACACACACACACACAATCGAGAGACCTGCTAGTGTCTTTGTATTTTTGTTGTTTTTTTTTTATTCATCTATAAAAAGAAATGCTATTTCAAATTTCAAATAAGTTTGCTCTGTCGTAAAATCTAGTCCTACTTACATACAATAGTTATATATTTTTGGACATGTATTGAATAGTGCTAGAATATAGCGATCGATTCACTTTCGTACCTTAAATCGGTGTGAATTGGCCCAGATTTTCCATTACGTCCAATGTAAAAAGACACATACACACGCGCGCACATAAAGTACTTATTTTTTAAGATTATCGAGGGTAGCAACATAATATACAAATAAAATACTAATTACAATTTCAATGACATATAAATTCAACAACCGCAAATGAAGTCGAACGTACTTGTATTCGTATGAAAAGAAATCGAACGAATAAAAAAAAGCATATGACTTAATGAAAAAATAATTGACATGTTGTTAACAAAAAAGGACCATTTGACTCAAAACACCATCAATATGCTTTAACCATTGAAGCGTTTGAAGTGACCAATTTATAAAACATAGCACAAATCCTCCCTAAACACGCGCCCACTAATAAATCTCGATGGTATTTGAGAATTGTGTGAAAAGAGCTGAACAAATCCCACAATTTCATGGGAAATGTTCAAAGAGGATGAAATGGCGAAAAAATCTTGACAGTCGGATTTATAAAATCAATCGATAAGACGTACAGTTTTTCAAAATCTAACTACATTTTCACATCCCTCACATCCCAGCAAATTGGAATGTATCAATAAATTGCTTCCAACTCATTTAACACCCTCTCTCATGTATTGGGCCAAGTATTGTGCATACGATTTGTGTTCTTCTTTATCGTGAACATCAGAAAGTGTACAAATGGCAATGCCAATGAAACTAATCTCCTCACTTATTACTGGCATTATGAAACCATATTAATGCTATCCATAAATCGGTGAGAATATAAAACAAAAAACGTAATTGAAACAAAAAACAACAACCAACCCCACACTTTTGTGCGAATATTCCTTACTGGCGCCGGAAATCGATGGCAATTAATGTTAATTGCATAGTGTTTGTTGGTGACCGCGAACCGTTCAATAGAGGACAATTTTCGCTTCATGGTATCATGTGTTACTGACACACGTTACATACCGTTCAAGGTATTATCAAATGGATTAATTATTGCCATTAATTGATAAATCAGCATTTAGTTATGGACATGTCCCCGAATAAGCCGTCGGCTTTCAGATATTCGCATCAAAATTCCACAAAAACTAAACAAGCCACTTGCATTTTTGTCCCTTTTTCATCTTCACGCATTAAACCAAAAACATTATTTACTTAAATTTTCAAATTGAAAATTTACGTATATGTATATAAATATATATACTGGCTTCCTCTGACAATTGAAATCATGTTACGTAATCGAAATAAGGAATGAACTAATTGATTTTCATTTAAAAAAAAGAATAATCATCAAGAAAAAAACGATTTTTAAGAAATAAAATACGAAGAAATATGCCCAATAAATGTGTCATATTTGTGGTCATTAAAAAAAAACAACGTCAAAACATTATTGATTTTCTATGCATAAACTGTTTCAATCATAGTATAGTGTATATGTACACTACATACGTACATAGTTATTTTAGTATTTGTAATAATGTTGTGTGTTTTTTTTACCTGTGTCTGGAATAGCGCCAGTTATTCGATTCGCAAGTAGTCCACGAACATTGGCGATAACTCGCTGAGGTGAATTTGAGCCACCAAAAATGGCTCCGCCTAATTTTGAAAACAGGGCGGAATCACCACCACTCGCACCTTCTGAAGAAGCCACGGTCTTACTTTATGGTAAATCAATAGAAAGAGCACAAATTCGGAGAGCGCAATTTACAAACTCGATGTTATTAAACTTTATTTTCGGATGGACGTTTTTCAATGAAATTTTTCCACAAAGCGCGGAATTTCTTTCCTCTTTTTTTAACCGAAAAAAAAAACTTTCCCAGTTAACTTGAAGAATAATTTATGAAGTTGCTGAATCAAGAATACACTGAATCGGATCTTGAATTGTTACGAGAGAATCACAGTTACACAAGAAATTATGCAATCGTATTATATAGATTTTTTTATCACTTTTTTTTTCTTTCAAGTTTAAAACACGATTCGATTGACTGTCAAAATCGAATAACAACTTTCAGAATTGAAGAACCACTTGCGATCAATTTTATTTTTCTGCCTTTCAACGAATTTTACTTGATATGTATGTGATATTATATGAATACTTTTTTTTTATGTTGTTTCAAAAAAAATTTAACAAAACAATTAAAACAATTTATTTATTTTTTTCTCTTAGTACGGTGTGTATGTAAATTTCGAAAATTTTCAAATAAAATGGCTATCTTTTTGGTTGTCACAACAGAGGGCTACCGCCCAAAAAGGAAAAAATTTGATAAAAATTTCCTACGAAAATTTGTTCAGTTGGTTGTTAGTGTGAAGAGTTGAGTGGACCAACTCAACCTGGCTGTAGGTAATTTCGATCTGCCAGGATATGAAAAAGCTTTGAGCTAAATATCCCCTCTACTTGATTCGCAACCATACTAGGGTAAAAAAGAAAGAGAAATTGAAATACCATTCATACATGTATTTGAAAAACCGATACCACCAACAAACAAGTATAGCTCATCTTTGTGTGTGATTGCGGGGTAAACGACAATCGGAACCAGTGCAAATGTGGATGAAAACGACCGAAAGACAGATTTCCCCTTCGGCAACCGTGCACAACGATATGCAGGAGTTTTTGTCAATGCCATACCATAGTGATAAGGAGCAACGCAAACAAATGTAACACTGTACGACTGCTCGATGTATATCGATAAGAATTCCATTCGATGGAATGAATCGTGGGGCGCAGTTGTATTGGTGTGTGATTAGTTTTGCGCATGTTTTCTACAGGATTCCGTTTGATTGGTATAATATTTAATGACGTCACATCTCATTAAATTCGAAATGTTAACTGATTACGAAAGAAATCTGATTAGAATGTTTTTGATCTAACGATATTCATCCACAATTCATTCATTTCTAGCTCAAATTTAGAATTGGTTTTAGCGGTTGCATGAATTTTTTGAATTCACACGATCCGTTTTCTTGTAAAACATATTAAGCTTAGTGATGGACAAAATCAGAACTTTTTTTTCGGGATTAAAAATCTAGTTTTTCCTGGGAAAATATAAAACATAGGAAAATCTATATGGTTTTTCTGATGCTCCTTCTGACGATACCTCGTGTGGGTTATCCTTCCGCCATCAGTGCGGAGGGGTTTAAAGTGACTTGGATTAAATTGATTCGAGACATCTTTAAATCTACTTAAAGTGATTACAATTTTGGATTTATCATGAAACTAACTTTCTTAACTACTCTAACATCTCAAATTCAAGTCGAAGAGTTGAAAAATTCCGATTTTCACTTCAAACCCAACTGCTTTGAGTTGAAAGATTCATTTTTGGTGCATTAACTACTCGAATCGATAATAAAAATGAATTCTCAAAATGGAAACTTATTTCGAGGCCGGGAGAACGGACATTTTCTTGGGAAAATAAAACGCTTCCCGTCACTATTTAGGCATAATTTTGTGTTATTTTTTGCTGTTTTCGTTTTTTTTTTTTTTCATATTTTCACCTTTCACATCGAAATTCAAAATTTATTCGATCGATAATGGTCAAAATACGCTTTTTCCTTTTTTGACAGCAAAAACACGTCTGCATGCAATTTCACTCAAGTAAATATTGATTGAGTTTCTTTTTATTCGGTGGCTCTCATTCACTTACATCGAAATTGTTTTTTTTTTTTTCAATTAGATATCCGAAATGAATACAAAATATCAAAGAAACAAATTATAAATGTATTGGGTGTGAATTTGTCATAAATAATTCAGTTTGATGGGCACATCTAAGAAGGGAAATTTATCTTCAAAAGTTTTCGGAAATTTCTCTCAAAATATCTTTAATAAATGCCATACCAGCGTCTAAATGAATATTTCAATTAATTTAATGATTTTTAAATGTACCACTGACGTGAAATAACACAACCTATTTTCATTAATCGATTGGATTTTCACTTCCATCGTTCATTTTTGCGTTTTCAACAATAAGAACATAAGCTATTTTGGTTCAGGCTGCGGGATTAGATATACTATTTTGTTTACACATAAATTGTTCCATTGCATGGCGATCGAATGTTGTAAAAACGGTAACATTTGAACTGGCATGTAATGAAAAATAATGAAATTTTTCCTTCTTTTTATGGTTTATAATGCATTTTTACATTTAATTTTTGGTATATAACACATATACGTTTGGCATGAATGAGTTTCGTATTGGGTTCTATTACTAAGACGAACATAAAAAAGCTGTTTTTTAGGAATAAATGAAATTTTCTTTGTTTGCACCAGCCATGAAAAACTCTGTGTTGAAAAGCACACTCGTACTGCCCGAACGATGTTTTGCGTGTGTTGGGTCGTGCGGTGCCTTGAAAATGAGTTTAATCTAAACTCAATGAAAAAATCTTTGTTTGATTTCTTTTTGGAAATTCACTTATCTTACAAAGAATCACATAAATACGTTATTTTCTCCCAATTTTTAGAACAAAGAAACAAAAAACAATTGCTTATTCCACCTGCAGGCTAACTTCAATTTAATGTCGCACCTTCGTCACAACATAGTCCCGAAAATCATTTCACGATCAAATTAAATCACAATGTGTTATTTATGTATCTAAAGCGCATTGAATATGTCAATTTCACGTGTTATTTAACATTGCATGATAATCACAAAGCATTGACCCAAATCGCCATTTCGTTTGGATTAAAATGTATGATATTATGATTTTTGAAAATACGGACTATAAAAACTAATACGGAATTATGTACTTCTACAATATCTGATATTATTTAACACCTTATCCAATCAACCACTTCACGCAAAGGAATATTGATATTTTAACGACCGACCGATGTAATTAATAATTACCTTTAAGCAGAAAATTGTTGTACTCGTTCGATGTGCATGTGCACATCATTTGTGGAAATATTTCGACTTCATAACCGAGTATAAATCGACTAATTTGGGACAAAAATGGGTGATATTTCAGCCAGCTAAAGTTAACTATAAGTGACTATATACGATGGAAACTAGTATCGTACAAATTAATTTTATCGATTCTACGAATACGACATCTGTTAAAGAAGATACCGATTTTTGTTACAACTGTTGCTTTGACACAGCTCGAGCGAACTATACGGCTATGGCTGTATTACAGACGAACTAATACAAAAGATCACACAGACTCCGATCCTGTGTATGCGTATGTATTGTAAATTTTGCACAAGCAGCTACGATTGACGACTGAGTGCAGAATTTGTAATACATACGCATACACAGAATCGGAATCAGTGTGTTCCTTTGTACGTTTACACGAGCTGTATTAAAACACCACTAGTAACAGAAATCGGCGAGTTTTTTAGTAGATGTCGTATTGGTGGAATCGATAAAGAAAAATCTACGATATTAGCGCTCATTGACTATATGCGTCTTCATGTAACTTGAATTGAGAAATGTCGATTGTGATCATAGTTAGACTTTTGTCACCTATGTTGACTATAATCACTTTTAGTTAACTCTGAATCTGATACATAACCGACTATATTCGATTTCAATCATCTATTGGTAATTTTAACCGAATAAAAGTGATTAAAATTGAGTTAATTTATAGTCAGTCAGTCATTTTTTTTTCACAAGGGTATTATATGTGCGCTATCATATTAACTATTATTGCATAATACACTGAAATATTTTCAAAGTGGAAAATATTTCGGACAAAACTCCTCCATTCTTCGGAATGAATTTTTGGATGAAATGAATTTTTTTACAGAAAATTCATTTCAATAGTTAGACTATTTTAAGTCCAGTTTTTATTCTAAGCCGTCCTTTAGACCATCCTTTTGATAATTGAATGATATAATTAATACATAATATGATACCCTTTTAAGGATTCAAAAATTAAAGTTACTTTTCATTATCGGTGTACGTGTTCAAATAAAGTGTTCATTCCAAAAAAATACTATTAAAATATATGTGACCTCGGTAGCATCTCAGAAAATATCTCAACTCATTTCAACTAACGACCTGCCAAACTAAATTTAAATAAAAACGGATCTTATCTCTTTTGTGTGCCAACTTCAGAAATGATGCATCGAAAGCCAATCAACGTTTTTTTTTTGAGCAAAACTTTATTTGTGTGACATCGTTTTGAATTCTAAATTGACATAATTCATTTATTTTTATTTTCCTGGTATGCGAATAGTTATATAACCGCAATCTTGAGCACCATCAACGCAGAACCATAAAAACTATTTCAATTTTTTTAAATCGGTTTTTCGTTTGGCATTGACTTTTCAACAAACCGACGACTCTTCATAAGCTTTTTGATTTTTACAGTGTCACAAATCTATTCGACGAATATATGGAATCATAGCTGGTGCACTTTTTGTTTGTCACCTGCATTCACACCAACCACAAATTTGATATCATCTTATGCAGTGTTTGTTATGTCAGATAAAATCCATTTTATGTGCACGTCTTTCCATGCATTAACCGTATATAGAGTCTGTTGGATTTGCCACGATGCCAGTCTTATCAGTCAAGCGAACAAATTTACATGCACACAAACACACCATTGCAAATATGCATAAAATTTGCTATGCAATTGATTGTGTGATGCGGTAAATATTCAAGTGAATTGAACTTTCTCTTGCGTCCTTTTAATCCATGAGCACGTTTTTATAATCGGGGACTATTTCATATATTTAGCACACGTTCGGTGTTTAGTAAAGAAAGATTGAATGAAGAACGTGTGCCATGCATACAACCTGAGCGCGGAATAAAATGATCACTTGGAAACGGGGAACAAACGTGTGCACCGTTCGCAAGCAACAACAACAAAAGAATTTCTAAGAAAATGTAAACAAGCTTTAAATTGCTCGGCACACAATTATAATGAATAGAAAAAAAAGTCAAAATGAAATGTTGGAAAATGAGAGAGAGAGAGGTGAAGCCAGGAAAAAAACGGCAGGAAAACAAAGCGGAACAACAATTGTAATGCTGAAAAAAAACCTCGAGGCATGAAATTGTCATGCACATAAACACTCTAAATATTCTCTCCGGTGTGCACTGTGCACCCATCGTATTCGAATTGAGTGCTTTCGTCCCATTCGATGTACAAAAAAGGGTGAATTGAATGACAAACCGAATTCAATTTTTTTTTGTGTTTCCCGAGAGATCCTTAACGTCTTGCATTTCATACAACGTTCGTTTTTTTACTGTAATTCGCGACAAATAAAACAACAATTGGTTTGTAGATCTCGTTCTTTAAATTTTGCTCGCACATGAAGCATGAAACAAGTGTCACTCAAATTAAATACGAAAAGAGACGAAGAAAAAAAACATCAAAGCTACGAGTAAACTCTTGTGTTGACCTTATGCATGCATAAATAATAATTCAAATTATAAGCCAATTAGCAAACTGATTGCTTAGAATTTGTATTATTTAAAGTTTTTTTTTAAAGTTATACACAGATTTATCTCTTTCGACTTTTACAATAAAATGTAATTTTAACAAACAGATAGAAAAGTTTGAAAATGTTGATTGATTGATTGATGTAATAACGTGTCTATGCGTAAATCAGTTTGAAAAAGGATTTGAGCGGTAAAGTTTGCAAATGAAGATTGACATAGTTGGATTTTTAAATGACACTTAAAATTCATCTAATCAAACCCACAATTAAAAATAAATCGCACTTTTAATGAAAAGTGACAGGTTTTAATGCGGCAAAACTGATTAACATTGAAAACTTTTCATTTTCAAAAAACGTCGTGCCAATTTTGTATCATCAAGTCTGCTATTGTTTAACGCGTCACACTGTTCGTACAAAGAAACACGTTGCAAATAAAAATATTCATACATATATTTCGACAAAGTCGATTGGGGCGTTTATTAAGGACACCATAATGAGTATCTAAATACCCCAAAAAATAAAATGAGAAACAAGTGATTCTTGAATGTCAAACTCACATTGTTCTTTTAATAGGTGAATTTACGATACAGTTTGGCAGTGTATAAATTTTGAATTGAGCCGACATCATGGAATCATATAGACGAAAATCGTTATTTTTGATGATTTATACAAACAATTCTCGATTTTTATTTTGTCTACCATGTTCGTTTCGTTTTTCCTTTAATGAGTCCCATTTTTCAAACGCTCTTCTCGGTGTTTAACTGATTCATTGCAGAGCAACATAAGCAAAATAGGTATACTCTCTCCTAGTCGAAATGAAGTCGAGAAAAAAAGCAAACTTTCTCACTCGCATTCCCTACTCAGCATTTATATTTTTCGTGTTTTCGTATAAATCGTTATTTTCGTGATAGTCATGCATAAATAAATATGTTTATTTTTGACTGAGTCTCAGCACACAGCGCATTGTGTCGTGCTACTACTATTGCTGAACGTCTTTGTTTCATTGTGAAGCATGACTTGTGTGCCATGCATGCCGTTTTACACACGCACACATTAGACAGGTACCAAAACCCCGAAACGAATGCGATTGTTGTTTGGTCGTGTGCACGGGACACGGTACCCGAATGACAACAACAAATACACAACACAAGGACCGCAGGCATATAAACGAAAAATTGAGCGGGTCGTATTTACTGGAGCAAGAAAATCGATTCCACTTACACGTTTGTTTAACATTTTCGGTACGCGTTACCGGTATATGCTCGGTATAAATATATGTATAAAAAAATCACAAAAATCGAAATCGAATAATGATCGAATGTCGCACAATTCGAGCAATTAATGTGATATAAATTTGCATTAGTTTTATTAGTTGGAACAGTCGAGACTGTGTCTCTGAGTGTGTCGAAAAGCGAACTGTATTCGATGTGAATTAACTAAAGGGTCTTTGCAATTGACGTTCGGTGAGTGTAATGAGAACTAGTCAATATTATTTATAATAAAATGACGTTAGACGAACCATCGTAAAATAATAGCTAATGAGTCAGAAAAATATTGAGAGAAATCATGTAATTTTCACTTGGTTGGCATATTTCTAACAATTTAATGAGAAGAAACGTTTATTTCGAAGTACCTTTGGGAATCTCAGTTATTAATTTGTATGCAATAACCATTGAATTTCAAAAAAATTCTTACCGTGATTTATTTCTCATACCGTTTCAACGGAAAATAGTTTTATTTTGTAGATTTTCGAACTTGCTTCTTGATTACATGATACTTTTTTTCATTACCACATTTTTTTCTCTGTGTGTGCAAAAAGAATACACAGTCGAGTTTTCTACACGCCAACATTTTTCACAATCGATCGCATCGAAAACGAATACGAGGAATGCGAGGAAAAATTTCAACTTTTTTGTAAACTTCAACACATTTCATCAATTTCATTTTGTGACACAAATGCCCAAAAACATCATTTTCCTTTCAAAATTTCTGTCAAATGTCTACAATTTTTGGACAAGCAAATATAGTTTCAACTTTGTTCCTGACTTCTTTGTGAATTTCGCGGTTTTTTCAAAAAAAATTCAGTTAAATCTTTATAATTCTGATTTAGAACAATTTCCGAAAGCGCTAATTCAATTTGAATTCAAATTTTCTATCATAAGTAGTTTTCTATTCAATGATCTCCGAAATAATGAAAAAATTATATATTATTTTATGAAACGGATATCAATATAGTTATTTTTTCAATTTTATCCGGTTTCGTTTATGTTTTTTTTTTTCATAATTTTAGTTCGAAAAGAAAATCCGTTTCCATCGTTTTGACTAAGAGAAGAAGAGAAAAAGTAGTAAAATGACCTGAAAAATGGTGCATACATTCGTTGAATGTGTAATGAGTTGAAGAAGATATTACTCTGAAATACTGAAGCTTTCATCCGGTTTGACTTTTGCATATTGTATGCTGCATACTAAAACTCCCAAAGAAAAATTCTTGACGATGAAATGAAGCAAAAAAAAAATTGCAAAAAATGTTTGTTTTTGTAAAATTTAAACGATGAATGAAATTTCCGAGATATGTAAAAATATCCATAGTGTCCTATGTCTTGGTATATGGTGAGGATACTGCACAATGGCTGCATGGGAGTGGCTTACCACTGGAAAATTGGAAAATTGTCGGGCGTGGCTAACATACAAGAATATTGATGCGAATTCATTCGTATGGATTTATGTGGGTATGTGTGTGCGGGTGTATACGACAAGCTATTCACTGAATACGATAAGCATACAGCTACATACATACGATTTTATATGGATGCTTGTATTGTCCCGTGTCCGTGCAAGTACACCAGTTTTCCATACATCGGCTTTCCGACCGATTCCGTTTCAAGATCAAGCCATTTACAGCAGTAACGACACCAGCATAAAACAAGCACACATACACAGAGACACACATACGATGAAAATCAATACTTGCGGAATGAAAATTTGGTGTTTGTTCGTTTTACTTTTACATTTATGTGAATATATTTATTGTGCCTGTGTCACAACGTCCGTTTATTTTGTGTGTGGTTGCCATTTTTTGGGGACAGAAAAAAAACACGATAGAATTTGGAGCTTGAATTTTCGACACAAGCATACCACAAACAAACTATACATTCGTGGGAAATCTTTCCCAAATAAAATACAATGAAAATGAATGTGAAATAAAGGAGACGAAAGAAACCGCATAAAATGTGAGAAAGAACTTGGACAAACTTTCAGTGTTTTATCTATTTTCATTTTTCTTTCAAAAAGTCCGACTTATGGAAGAATCATCAAGCCATTAAGCGTTTTTTTATATTTTGAAGTTGTCTACAACATCTAAAATGTGTGCAGCTTTACTTGAGTGTGGCTAGAAATAAAATTCGTGCTTTCCGTTTTCGCTCCTATTCTCTGTCTCCCCTCTCACTTTCTCGTTATCTTTAAATAACATAACCTTCCAGTCAGCATGCGAATCCATTTTGTTTTCTCGAAGAAAAATAAAAAGTTATGTGCTTATGAAATGAAAAAAGATGTGGATCTTGTCCATGTGATAATACTGTTTCTAAAACGGAAATCAATGGTTTTTCTCAATTTCTCTTCGATGAACAACTGCATCGCATTTTCACAGGCACAAAAAGCCAATGAATTCATATTTTTTAATTGGTTTTTCATATTACTTGCATGTGTTCTTTTTTTTTTATTCACAGTTGTAGTGAACAAATAGTAATAGCATTATAATGCGAGCTATATAAAGTTTAATGCTTTTCTTGGCTTTTGATTTCTTGAAGAAATAAAAAAAACCATTGGTGAAGCTATATTAAAAGGCGGTATGACTTGAATGTTTGATGATGGGATTGGACGTAAGAAAAAAAAAGCATTTTGACCGATTAGTTTAGTTTATAGGTCAAACATATTAAAATATGCACCATAAAAATAGCCGACCAGTTGAAAAAGCTTTGATCGGTCCAAGAGGGGTAGGAAGAGAAATCGAAAAACAAACGGTGGTCTTGTTAATAAACTTATTTCAAATAACCTTGACCCGAATTGGGTTTGATTCCAAAAATCAAAATCAAAAACTCCAATGACACTCTTTTTCCTTTTTTCTTTATATATTAAAATTATGATTAAAAAAAACACACAAATCAATAACAATAAGTCAATGCTTTTTTATTTAACGCTCATAAAAACTAAATACAGTTAGTAATACTCTCTGTTAGTTTCAAAACACATTCTTGGAATCACCGTGTGATTGAAAGACATCAAATATTCTGACCGTGTATAATCCTTTTAAAGCAACGAAAAACATGCGACTATTTCATTTTCATTTTCAAACTTGAGATAGACACCATTTCATTTTGTTTATGTTGAGCATGATTGGTCAGAATATTTGATTAGATCTATTATGTATTTCTTGGTAACGAGAGAAGATTGATACATTTGGACCCGACATCACATGTCAGTAACCAAATTGGCAAAAGCATTGTTTAGAATGATGGTCAATTACCTATTTAAACGTACGAGTGAATTTTCTATAAGTCACTTATGATGGAGAGTAAATTATATAGCGGAATGGTCTATCTCGCGCATGCTCTTGGTAAATACAGCGATAAAAAAAGCAGCACATTGGTCGAATATGTGTGATAATTAAGAAATCAATAATGATTTAATGACAATGAAATCATGGCTCAATTAAAATGTTTCTCGTTGCTATGCTTCACATTGGCGTTTTTTCCACTTGGTTTACAAGCCATTTGAGCTGATATGTAGTCGATAATATATGTTTCTTTTCTCTCTCTCTCTCTCTCTCTCTCGCTCCCTCGCTCGCTTGAATTTAAAACAATGCACAACGTCTTAAAGTTTCGAATTATAATTAACGTTTGTTGTGCCTGGAAATATGATGTGAATTGCATTTTGAAAAGGAACGTAAACCCAGCCCAATCAATACAAAACAATACTTGTTTCGAAAATGATATGGCTTTTATCTTCTAAATGGCTATTTACCAATTGGTGTTGAACGTATTCTCATCCATGGTCGTATACCAAATACACCGAATGTACGAAATGAATCTAACAAAAATGATGATGTAGAAGCTAGCATAAAATGTTATGTTGATTTCCTACATCGGAGAGGAAATGAAATTAATGAATTCTAGAAATTCGTACAATGGTTGGAAAAGTTGCTCCAACTATGACCAATTCATTGTGTGAAACGATCCACATCACTTTCAATCTATATATATATTATTTAATGTGGTAACATTGGTGGCATATAAAAGCAAATCTCTCGAGATCCGATCCATTTCTCTTCCTCTCAACTCTAACTCTGTCTGTCGTACACGTTCTTTAGAATTTTGGTCAAATCTCATGCTGTACCATAAAAAATAATTTTATTTTCTTTATTTGGAACGATAGTTCACTTCATAAAAACTTTGTCACTGCCATACATTGTCGTACTTAAAACATACTTCCGACCCATAAACTTCAAACATTATTTATGAAAAGCACTGGACAAAAGCGAATTCAAACCGAAAAAAAAATGATTTAAAACAAAGTTTATTTCTCGCTTAAGTGAGAATATTGTTTTTTTTTTTTTTTTTTTTTTTTCAATGGAATTTTATTATGAAATTATTTATTTTTTTTCTATTCGTGAAGAAAAATAATAAGAAGAATAAACTCGCACATAAAGCGCAATGACTCTTCTTTTGTGATTGTTTTGGTATTAGCAAGATGCTTTACAGAGTCCATTTGCCTCGAAACAAAGTTCGAAATAAATTCAAGAGCGAAAACCATCCGAAATCAATTAGTTGGATTGAATTCAAAGAGAAGATAGAAAAAAAAATCGGCTTGCCCAATTCAAATCGTTACCATAAAATAGCACTTATAGTTTTACAGTCTTTGTTCGAATGAAATATACGTGTAGAAACAATGACCAATGGAGCATCGCTGATTTGCTACATTAAATGCAAAAATCGATCAGATTCGTACTTTGTGTGCATTTTCGTTGGAATTAAATGTGAATATTTAAGGAGGGCACTTCTTCAACACAAACACACACAATCAACGGATTTTTGACCCATGGATGTGAGAATATGACAGCGTCGATACAATCTTATATTGAGAGTTTGGCTGTGAAAACCTTATCGGTTTTCAAACCTTCAAAATTCATTGTGGGCTAAATCAGTGACGGTCATCTATTTGATTTGCATGATATTTTTTTTCTCAAGTAGCGAATGTGTTGCTGCTGTTGTTGTAGTATAAAACGTTGAACCAAATCAAATTAAAATCGAAAATAGAAACGAAAAAAAAAAAAACGTTTTCTATGCTCACCGCGCACAGTATGCATGTTTCTTATCTGCGCATTTTTGTTCGATCGATCTATCACATTTCATTAGAATCTTTAAATGTTCTGCTACCAAACAATATACGGTTAACTCCATTGAATCGTCGTCAGTCATCATTATCATTGGTGGCATCCTCTTTTGATTTTTGCAAAATCTCTGCTCTGTACTGCAATTCTGTACTCATTATTATTTTCATATAGAATGCGCTGAAACGACGATAGAAACGACGAAAAATAAAAGTTCACGAAATAAATAAAAACACACACAGAGATGAATGCAAATAAACAGAGATGGCCATTTATATATCTGACATGCAAAACAGTCAATTCGATTCGTTTAAGAAGCAGAAACGAGAGAGAAGAAAAAAACAACACGATCTCAATGGAAAAACGATTTTTGTTGTTGTTGTTGCTGCTGCTACAGCTGTTACCACTATATGATTGCAATGTGACTTGATCCATGTCTGTGGCAAGCGAACGATGCCACATACATACAATGAATCCAGTTCTTTGCACTTGTTCTCATCAATTCGATTTACATAATGTTTTTGAACCACCGAAGATTTGCATGTGATTTTATTCAAAGCGATAATATGATGCGAACTCGCTGTGTGCTATGCGATCATTTATGAATAAAGAATGTAGAAGGCATATACACACATGGAATGGATTATATTCGGTGCAAATGAAAGTGTAACGAGTACAAATCATCAACGTTCAATATCGAAATTCGACGAAAAAATAATAATACGATAATGATGATATGGAAAAAAGGAAAAAACCAAAAAATATACAATTTCACGTCTCCGTGTCAAAGATTTGCATTGGTGGTTTTTTATAACTATTTTAATACATATTGTACTGATTCCTTTCATATACAACACAAAATTAAATATTTGCGACCTTTTTTATTCTCTACGCACAGTTCGTCCATATATGCGTGCGTAAGGCAGAAAAATTCGCCAAAAAACGCACACCTCGTTCGATCAATTTTCGTGTACGTGCTGAAGGTGTTTGTTGTGTATGGTTCCTATTTCGAGTTGTGTGGTGACATTCACTCTCTAATGTTTAACACTTGGTTATTATTCAAATGCAAACACGCTTAGTTGAACTAATAGAGACTTTTTGATTCAATGGAATCTTGAAAGGATTGATGAGGCAAAGCTGTGGGTTGAAGTGTCTTCAAACATAATAAAACTTATTGAAATTAGAAAGAGAGATAAAGACTTGAAATTGGTTACACAAGGTCTTGAGCTAAATGGGAATTATTATTGTCAACCGAGAGATATAGTTACATTCATCATTAATGAGACCCAATTAATATCCGATTTCCAATTTGATTGTCATATATATTGCCCCATCGTGTATAAAAGTCGAAAAACCTTAATTTTATACACACACCGCATCATACAATTTGTAGCATTCCAAGTGTGTTTTTTTTTCTTCATTTCAACATCTTTGTTGTCATCATCACATGTTATTTGCTTAATTTTTGTTCACTTTGCCACAAGTAATTATAACAGAAATAATTGTCGATTTTCACCTTGATTTACTTTCATTTAGTGTTTACGAATTTGTTTGGTTTTTTTTGCTCGTTCGTTTGTTCGTTAATTAATCTTTAGCTGAAATATCCACGTCATAAAGCAATCACTTAGAAACCACCGCATGGAATGAAGAAGAATCCATAAAACTATATATTGAATGGATGTGCAAAAGAAAGAGAAAACACATATATGTAAATGGGGGGCGGTCAGTAATTCTTTTGTATTTTTCGGGTTGATTTTCTTACGAAAGAAACGAGAAAAAAAACAAATCCACTTAAAGATGAAGATGATGATGATCTGTGATAATTTTTATATTGTTTTGCTTGATTACGTATTAGGTTGGATTGAAATTTTTACTTCTTTCCGTCTGAAAATGTTTTAAGACCAAAAAAAAATTGTGCTTGAACATTTATCGAAATCAATTATAACTAGCTTTTCAATGACAAAATATCATTTTAAGTCACTCTAATATGCATTGAAAATGTGATTTGAAAACATGCTGCATTTCATTCTGCCCTTTTTTTCGTTGATTTGGTTACATTGTTGTTGTTGTTGTTTTCTTGCTTTCTTGGGTATCGATGCTGCCATTCATGTATGGGCTTGAAATTTTTGCGGTACCGACATCAAAGTCGAAGAAGAAGAAGTAGAAAAAACAACAACAACTGCGATGCATCTCGATTGATGTGCACAACGAAGCAATCATCATAGTTGTTATGCAGTTTTGTTAAATATCAAAATCAGCTCAATTCTTTTTATCTCTGTTGTTTGCCTATTTTCCAGTCTGCTCTATCACTGTTTCGACTATGGTTGGCGAGCAATACGCTCGATAACAATTGAAATGATCAAAATCATTTGATGCAAATTTATACATTTATCATTATTATAATTATTTGAAATAATAAATTGTTTTTGTTTTGTTGTCAGTGGATTTGATGCTTGGGCTGTGTGCTTTGAATTGAGTTGTGAGTTGCGAGTGAAAGAGCAAAATGTGAGCCCACTCGTTGGTTTGCAATCCAACATTACAAAGCATATAAACACATCACGTTCTATGCTTTTATTATCGACATTGCATCTCTTTTGCATATTTAATATTTATTGGAGGTTTTATGCTGAAATGATCACTATGACGTGAACCCAATGCAAATGACAGCTACCGGTTTGTATTTTGCTTTATTTACAATACCAACATTCAGAGTTATGTGTGTCCCTTTTTTGCCATCGATGTTATTATCATTCTTTTTTTATTATTTATTCAGCTGACGGATTGCATTTACAGATGTATGGAAAATGTTGTTGAAGCTTTGATTGTGTTTAACGAATTCCATTTTTATAAAATGTTGAATAACACAAACAAAAAATAGTTTTTTTTTTCGCATTGATTTTGAAGAAATTTAAATGTTCTTCGTGATCAATTGAAACTTACACATTTTTGCAAAGTCAACCAGAATGTTATGCCTCAAACCAATTAAAACTTTTCCAGAATATATGCATATATGTGACAGATCATTTGATTACCGCACATACAAAGCGGAGCATTTTGTCGATTATCAAACATAAGTTTAGTAAAGTTTATAAGTTTATTCGAGCCAAAACACATCTAGAGAAAGAGAGAACGACCGAATCGAATCAGTTTTATTGGATTCCATTAACGTTCTTCTGCGAACATTCATTTGGATGGGAAAACCTCAAACAAATTAATTGGCATTGCTCAGTGAATCGTTCATTGCGTAATTTTTATATGTATCTCTCTCTCTCTCTCTCCTTGTCTGAATATCCCACATTTTGCTATCGACGTAAATCTAAACGATTCAAAAAAAGTAAAAAAAGAGTAGCAAATCTAGGCATTTATCAGACTCTTAAATTTTTATGATTTTATTATAAATGTTCAATGTGAATTCTGCATGTTTATTCTCTTTCCACGCATTATGGAATGATTTGTTGACTGAAGGATTTTCATATACCTAAAGGTAGGAATTAGAATTGAAATATACTACAAACACAGCGTGAATAATAATATTAATCAACAACAACAAAAAAAATGTTTTCATTTCAGTTGAACGAATCGACGTGCAAAAATAATATGTGCGGCTAAACTCAATGCTAAAACTGCCATGAAATGAGCAATCATTTTCGCTTATTTTGCAGGCGCTCACACAATAAAATCTCTCACAAACAACAACAACAAAAATAGTCATAATATTATTCATATTTACGACAAAGCCGTGTCTAAGCTATCCATCGCAAGGTATGTGAAGGTGATTGCAGTTTGCGCTTTGGTTGACTGACAGTGATATGATTTTTTTTCTCTTCTCTTGCAGCGACTTTGTATAGTCTGTGTTCTCCATAACCGTTAGCGAATATGTACGTTTTTTGAATGTGCGTGATGAGAGAGCGATGGTGGAATTTCGTCACGACAATTCGAACAGCTCTTTATTAGTTTATTTCTTCCAGTTTCATATTTGGTTGTTAGTTTCCAATTGTGCAATAAATTAAAACAAAAATAATTAATGATACGACACCCATATGGTGCGCGAAGGAAAGGAAACCAATGCACACAAAATGAAATAAATAGAAAAAAAAACTATACAACTCACGAGAGAATGCGCGCACGCTCTTGCCAAAGATGAGACAAGATGCATCAGTCAGAAAAAGAAGTCGTCGACAACAACGACACTAGGCTAGAAATTGAGAGGCTCGAAATAAAAAACAACACATTAAATTGTCTTTTCGAAAGTACTACAACGCAAAATATATAGGAAGAATTGGTTTAAGAAGTAAAAAAACAAACAAACAAACAAAAGCGGAGTTGAAGAACATAATAAGTCAATTGGTTTTTTTTTTCGAATTAATTTTGTGCGTACTTTCGGATTTCGTTTTTGTTCAATGCGCTTTCAATCAGTACATAACTGCATGTCCGTACAGGTGAAAAACCGCTTCGTACACAAAAATCAACAGTTTTCAACTTAAAAATAGAGGTATTTAGTGTTTTTCTTCTTCTAAACAAATCATGTTACGTCACATTTCTTCCTATTTGGATTTGCTTTTTCACTTTCGAACACAAAAATTTCACCGTTTTATTTTTCATTCGCAGTCTTTCAAATTATGATGTTTTTGCACATGCCATGTTGATAATTTGAACCGAATATAGAATTCGCAATGATTAAATTGTTTATAATAAATCATTTCGAATTTTAGTCACAAGAATCGTGTGTACGCGTTTCGTTTACCATCGTATGTGTATATAGAATGTATTTATTGTCTTCAATTTTTTTTTCTCTCTCTCGGTTTTTCGAGTCGCTTTTTTATATATTTTTACAACTGCAAAAGATGACTTTGTAAACATTTATTAAAAGCATTCTCTTTGCCATGAGTTTCATCTTGAAATTCCGTCATCCATGTGCTTCTTAAATGGTTGGTGTCGCTTGTGTAACATGCCCGATCGATGTTGCTGCCGCTGTGCCGTTGCACTGTTACATTCATTCGAAAATTTGGAACAGAAACGTCGGTGTTTTTTTTTCGGTGTGTGTGTGTGTGCTCCTCTCCGTTTGTGCTCAGAATATGACATAAATTCACACCGTTTGCACTTCTTATTTCTTCGAATCTTTTTTTCCATCATCTACTTTTTTTTCTTATTCATAAACATCATCATCATCATCATCATCATCATCTTTATGCTAAGTACTTATGTGTGGAATATTTTTTTTGTCTGTGCCTTAAATCTAATCTTACAACAAAATCTAAAAATATGCAAAAAATGATGATTGTTTAATTATTACATAATTTATATGTATTTATTATTATTTTCCCTGATGTTAAATCCCATTGTTTTGCGCGCATTGTCGGCAATATACAAAAGCAAATACTTAAAAAAAGGTGCGCGCGCGAGCGCGATACGTTCAACACAGAATATATGCAGAAAATTTTCGTTTGCATGTTGTTGTGTTGTATCACTTTGCCCATGCATTTTTTTTAATGCTGCATATGGGTGCACATTGAACGATTTGAATAAGAGCAAACAATAGCGAAAGCATTCCAAAATAAATTTAAAAAAAAAGAATTTTTATTCGCTGTTTATCGCATGCCTGATGACTTCATTGACGGAAGGCGAACCACTTTTGATTAAATTTTAAACGTGTCAAATGCCTAACTCACTGTTTATCTTTTTTGAAACACATTTCTGGCTAACGTCATTGTTAGTTCATGCGATTGAACAAAGAAAAAAAAACTCACAATGCAATTTCCAATGAAATGTGACGAGAGCGAGCAAATGTTTGACGGCCTATTGTAAACAAGTACAGCCACGATTCTCATTATAATCCATTTTATCGGGAAATCTAATAATATTTAGTGACAATAGAATTAGTGCCCATTATGTGCAATAAATGCAAGGTGCTAAATGGCATCGTATTTAACCTTAAAACTAACCGTATATGATTTGTTGTTGGTGCTGCTGTCATTATCATACATTCTTCATACTTTACAAGTTTCGTCGTCATCGATTTTATTTTGGCGTTTAAGTATTTAAGTTTTTCATATGTGTTTGTGTATTTATATTTAAAAGCGCAACGCATAATCAACTCATTAAATTGAAACGATTCCTTACGAATTTTTTTTTTGCACAAAATAGTCGGTTAGCGAGCGCAAGTTAAGCAGTGTCGAAGGTCATGTGCGCCACTGTATGCTCAAATAGACAACACATTAAAATAAATACTTGAATGACGATTTAAGCGAGACAGAGGGAGATAAAGAAGAAAAAAAAGGAAAATACACTCTAAAAACTGACAACGAAGAAGCGAATAACGAACACACAAAATCTGCCTTAACTATAACCAATTGTTTGTTGATTTTTACATTTTAATGGCTGTTTTATTGAGCACGGAGAATCAGATTTCAAGTGAAGAGAAGAGAACTGAAACAAAAACCTTCAAACTTTTCAAGTATCTCTTTGCAAAATAGCATCCAATTTGCACAAAGAGGAATAGCTAACATTTTCAGATAGATAGAGCGAAAAAAAAAGAATCGTGAATCGGAGGGAGACAATAAAAAATAAACAATTTCGATTTGATTGAGTACACAATGTGCATTGAGATTTTTGAAACCCACAACTTGAAAACAAAAAATTATTTTAAGATTAGCAACCACAAGTAGAAGGTAAACCTGTGAACGTTTTATTTCACAAATATAGCCACCACTGCATTTATTTATTAATTTGAAATGTGCCTTGCAAAAATTCGGATTTCATCATTTCCGAAGTGCAAACATCAACAGAAGCAATTGTACAGAGAGAGAGAGAGAGAGAGAGAGAGAGAGAGA